CTAGCCAGGTTGGCCAGAGCATCATCACGGCTGTTGTCATCTTAGCTAACCTGCTATAATCGGCAATTTTGAAATAAGGCTACCAGTCTGCCCACTTCATTTGCATAGGTTGATATCCTTTCATCTCGGGCTGTGTATTCGCCTATTGCCTGGTTGACTATAAGCTGAGACTCACAGAAGACTATTACCTCGTCAGCTTCCATTGCTACTACCAGTTCTAATCCTACGATTAGTGCTTCATATTCTACTTCATTGTTTGAGGTCTTAAACCCCAAATGAATAGATTGTTCCAGTATCCGCCCATCTGGAGATACTAGCACTACTCCTGCCCCACTCCTTGTCGGTTTGAACTTCTATCAACAAACAATCGGAATGAGTCACCGATGTGAACACTGCAGGGCTTGAGTTTTTCTTCCTTCCTTTGTTCTGCTGTTCCCTGCTGGGTTTTGCCTTGTTCACTTGGACGTTGTATACCTCAGCTCAACGGAGCCCGATGTATAACGGCGTCTGGTGTGAATTCGGCCACAAAGTCGGCTAAGACTTGGCCTTTAATTGCTGTCCTAGATTTGAATTCCAGGTCATATTGGCCCAAAGCTACTGCCCATCTGGTTATTCTTCCTGTCAGATCTCCCTGTTGTAACAGGGACCTCAAAGGATGTTCAGTTAACACCACAATTTTGTGGGCTTGAAAATAATGATTCAGCTTCTTGGAAGCCATTACTAAAGCCAGTGTTAACTTCTCAAAGGGTAGGTATCTGGTCTCTGCATCTGCCAGGGTTTTACTTACATAGTAAACTGCCGTTTGCTCTCCCTTTTCTTCTTTGACTATTACTGCACTCACTGCATGCTCTGAAACTTCCAAGTATAAAAACAACTCCTCTCCAAGTATTGGATTTGAGAGAACTGGAGCAGTAGTCAAATACTTCTTTAAGTCGGCCAAGGCGGCTTCGCACTCTTCTGTCCACAAGAAGTCTGTGGCTTTCTTCACTAAACTGAAGAAAGGTTTGCATTTGTTAGAGCTTCTGCTTATAAATCTATTCAGGGCTGCAGCCCTTCCAGTCAACATCTGCACTTGTTTTGCCGATGTTGGGCTCTTCAGCTCTAAGATGGCTTTGATCTGATCCGGGTTTGCCTCAATGCCCATTTTAGTTACCAAGTATCCTAAGAACTTACCGGACCCAACTCCAAATGCACACTTCGATGTATTGAGTCGGAGCTGATATGTTTTAAGAATGTCAAAAACTACCTTTAAGTCTTCCAGATGACCCCAGGTTCTTTGGTCTTCACGACCATGTCATCTATGTATACCTCCACAGTTTTGCCAATTAAATGTCTGAACATGTTAGTCACCAATCTCTGGTAAGTTGCTCCTGCATTTTTCAATCCAAAAGGCATCACTCTGTAACCATACAGCCCTTTTGGGGTGATAAATGCAGTCTTCTCCTTATCTGGGGGGTACATGGCTATCTGATAGTACCCCCTGTAAGTATCCAGGAAGCTCATCCTTCTATGCCTTGAAGTGACATCCACCAATTAGTTAATCTTGGGTAATAGGAAACTGTCTTTGGGACAAGTCTTGTTTAGGTTGGTAAAGTCCACACAGACCCTCTACTTACCATTCTTTTTTTTCACAACCACTGTGTTTGATAACAATGTTGGGTAATTTACCTCTCGAATGGCCCTGGCCTCCAGAAGTCTGTCCACTTCCTCTTCTACTGCCTCAACATGCATTAATGTCGGCCTCCTTGCTTGCTGGATGACAGGTTTAGCCGATCTATCCACATTCAGTCTATGGCAAGTGACCTCGGGGTCAATGCCAGACATCTCATATGGTGTCCATGCAAACACCTCTAGATTTGCTCTCAGGTCTAGCTGTTTTTCTTCTTCCTCTGCCAAGCCCGAGCCGAAAAGGAAGAAGCGTTCTTCGTCCTCTTGCTGGACAAGGATTTTCTTTAGGGCTTCCTCACTCTTCTTTGTTAGCTCTTTGTCGACGTCCCCCAGGACTTCTACGTTCTTGTCTTTGATCTCTACTGTTTCTGCTTCTCGTATGTTGTAGGTAGATTTCATTACCGCCATAGAGCAATTCTTTGCCTGTAACTGATCCCCTCTGACCTCCTCTATTCTATGCTCTGTTGGGAACCGTAATAGCTAAAGCAATGTTGAGGGAACAACCCCCATTGCATGTAGCCATGGCCTTCCCAAGATAGCATTGTAAGGGGTGGGGGTGTCGATTATGGTGAACTCTGTTTTTATCTTCTTGGTGCCAGCTTGCACCTCTAAACTTGCTACTCCCAAGGGCCACGTCGGCGTTCCATTGAACCCAACCATTGGGCCATTGGACTGCTCCAGATCATCTTGGTGAAGGCCAAGCTCCTTGTAACACCTGACATACATGATGTCACAAGAGCTGCCCTGGTCCACTAAGATGAGCTTCACTTGGCATTCTCCAATCTGGAGGGATATTACCAAGGCATCGTTGCGTGGATGTTGCACCGTCTCTAGGTCATCTTTAATAAAGGACACCACTGGTCACTGGCACTCGTCTGCCCTAGGTCTTTTCTGCCGAGCCTGGTACACATACTGTAAGTGTTTTACCTTTTGAGTCTCCCTACGTATTTCATTCTCATTGACCTTCGAGTGAATCATATTGATCACTCGAGGTCTGCTTGCCTGCGGTTGTGGTGCTGGTCGGGGAGGCGGTGCTATCGGTGCCTGAGGCAGTCTTGCTTGTTCTTCCCTTGTCCTAGCCTCGTCTATAAGGTCTCTTAAATGACCTTGCCTTACCAGGTCTTCCAGATGTGCCTTTAGGGCTCTGCAACCCTGAGTCAGGTGCCCATCTTCGTTGTGGTAAGCACAGTGCTTGCCAAGGTTTCTTTCCATGAATTCACCAGGGGCCCTTATTGGTGCTCTGTAATAAGGCTGACTTTGGATTTTCTCCAAGACTTTGTAAATTGGGATTCGGAATACAGTTGTGACTGTCTGCGTAGCTCTTAATCCTGTCTCTTGCTTGTTGTTCCCGCCATTACCTCGGCCTCGCTTCGGCGAGCCGTTTCCCTTTTCTTGCTTCGATGCCTTTGTCTCCGACATGTCTTCCTCGGCATTGGCATACTTCTCTATTTTGGCCATTAATTCTTCCATACTTTTTGGCAGTGTTTTTGCCAATGATTTTTGAAGCAAACAATCATCTTTTAGGCTGTTCTTAAAAGACACGACAGCCACCTCTTAGTTGCATTTTGGTATTCGGTTGAATACCTCATAATACCTTTTGGCATAGGTCTTCAGGCTTTTGTCCTCGCCAATTTTCAGAGCCATCAGTGCGTCCACCCTTAATGGTTGTAGTTTGTTTGTCACGAATCTGGCCACAAACATCTTGGCTAGGCCTTCCTAGATTTTCACAGTTCCTTTCGACAACTTGTGAAACCAATCCGATGCAATTTCCCCGAAGGATGAGGGGAACACCTTGCAAAGCAACGGCTCGTTCCCAGTGTACAATACCATCGAGTTCAGGTACAAACCGACGTGAAAGTTGGGGTCCGACTTACCGCCGTATATCTGGAACCTCGACATACTGAACCTTTTTGGGGCCTCAAATTTGTCCAACTCTACTGAGAACGGTGTTCTTAGCTTAATCGGGGAGGTTACCTCGGTATTTTGTTGTTTTCTCTAGAGGTAATCCCTCAGATCCTCTTGGTCCGTCCTGGAGCTCGGCTATCTCCGGATTTCAGCCTTTTCGGCGTGCTGCTTCCGATGTCATTATGAGTCCTCTTGGACCTTTCTCCGTTAGTTGCGTCAAAACAGAGTTCCTTCCCTTCAACATGCCGATGTTCTTTGGGGTCAGTTTCTTTGGTACGATGCGTTCTCTGTGAATTTCCCTTCATTGACTCTCCTCGCCTAACCTCCCTTGAAGGGCGGTAAGAGTGTTCCTTGGTCCTGGTGTGCTGGCGGCTACAGGGACTGCTTTTTGCCCTCCCTTCTGGGCATTGTTCTTGGCCGCTAGAATTGACGTGTCTTGCAGCGGGAATGGTAGCTGCATGATGTTGTTCTGCATTATGAAATTGATGACTGTTTGTAGGTCCGCCAATTTGTCTGCCATTCCCTTCATCTCGTCGTCCCTCCGCAGGCATCTATCTTTCCATACCTAGAGGTCGTCTTCATTATAATACCCGCTTCGGTCTGATTTCTTTAATATGTCACCTTCCTGGCCGACGTCTTTTTCTCCATGATTCTTATCACTAGTCTTTTCGTTGTAGTTGTCTTCTTCGATGTCAAGGTCAATATGTTTACCACTCCCAAGAGGGATATCGTCCCTAATCTTTTCTTTCCGTCCGTCGTTGGCCATCTATTCTACTATCTTTCCCACAAACGGCGCCAAATTGTGTGGGTTTATTTCTAACCACACTGCCAAACTAGTACTTAGCTGGAGAGCACCGGCATAATAGATTAAATCCGAACGACTTGTCACAGAAAGCAGAGATTCCGGAGGTGGTTCGTCCACCCGGGGGCATTCCGACGATCAAGTTAGTTATCTCTCAAAGATAGCAAAAGTGCTTAACTCACTATTCAGAATATAAAAAACGTACCTTAGACCCATGAGGGTGCCTCTCTTTTATAGCCAACACTGACCTAATCCCAATTGAAGCCTATCTTCAATGGACTTAGGATTATTGTTAATCTTGGACTCCCAAGAGGATTGGGATAAACTCTTTACGAGTCTCATCCTTACCCAAACTGAAGTCCTTTCCCATTCTAGGACTCTTGTCCCTTATCCGCTCATCCCTGATTCTGGTATTCTCGCAGATAACCTCGGCCTAGCCGAGATTACCTCGGTGTCATAATCAAGACACGTGGCACCTCGGCTGACACTTCGGTGCCACCTCGACCACGTGTTGTTTTTTAAAAATTATGTCCCCACAATACATATTAATTATGACAAAATAAAATAATTTTAAAAATAAATTTTAAATTTTAAAATTTAATCTGAAGGCAGCGCAATGATAGGAATGGTTACAATTTTAAGAGATTGGGCGGTAGGTAGAGCTGCAAATGAAACGAGTTGTTCATGAACAACCTCGGCTCGGCTCGTTAAAGACTTGGCTTGGTTCGGTTTGTTTAGCAAATGAGCCGAGCTCAAGCTCGACTATTAGGCTCGTTTAGTAAATAAGCCGAGCTCGAGCTTGCATAAACTCGACTTGTTTCTCGACTTGTTTACTTTTATTTAAATTATATAATAAATATATTATTTATATATTAAATAATATAAAAAAATATATAAATGCATTATTTATATATTAAACAATATAAATAATATTTTTTACTTAAATATTTTTATTTAAATAATATTAAAAAAAATTTATCGAGCTGAGCCGAGCTGAACTCGAGTTTTATTAATGTTAACGAGTCGAGTCAAGTTCGAATTCAATAAACGAGCTCGATAAATAAACGAGTAAAGATCGAGCTTAACAAAACTCGACTCGATTCGGTTCATTTGCAACTCTATCGATAGGTAACCCGCTGTAGATGGTATTGAGGAAAAACAGGGACTTAAATAAAAGGAAGAAGCGGACCATTCATATAGACAAGGAATCAACGAAATCATATGAAACAAAAACGACTCTTCTCTCTCTCATAATGAGAGTCTCATTCCTTTTTCGGGGTTTACAACTATTTTTATTAATCATATCATACCATATTAATCATATAAAAATACAACACAATGAGGGAGAGACGTTTTAAATATTAATAAAAAATTTATGCATTAGTTTTGGTAATCATATCATATCGGATCGAAAAATGTTACAGGGACTCATACAATATAATATATATGAATTTTATGTGAGTCTATATCATATGAAACATTTTTATGACACGATATGAATTTTATGTGAATCTATATTACACGAAACATTTTTATTTGATAAAAATATTGGTAAAACATTGGATCCCTGCCATTACCATATCAGATCTCGATCTCTCTCTCTTTTGTTTACTGAAGTTTGATGTATAAATTTATTTTCCAAGGCAGGCTGCTGCTAGGAAACAAAGCAAAGGACCCCTTTGAAATTTCTGTTTCCCCTAATTTATGCTCCTGTTCTTCCTCTCAGTAAGTAGTAGCTCTGGTTTTATTTTTATTTTTATTAATTTCTTTATGATGGTTCATTGTAAATTTACTAAATTGTATGTTTCTAATAATGGGTTTGATTCATTCAGTGTTTTAATCTTTGCGTTCTCAATTTTCAGTTCGAATTCAATTGCGACATAACCCTGTTTTGAGGGACCGTTTGTTCACTGTTGTGCTTGCTGGGGCATTTGCTCGTGGCTTTTACTTGATGTATCCTTTTTTGATTCACTGTTTTTTATTTTTTATTTATTTATTTTTTTGTTTTTGTTAATGTGATTAGGGTTATCTGAGACATGTTGCTAACTGGTTTCCCAAGGACCAGATTCACTGTCTGCTTATAATATTTCACAATTCATTGTTATTAAACAATAACCCATTTCAATTTTATACAGCATGATAATGCAAATATATATATATTTGGGATTAAAGGATTACTTTAAGTAATTAGATGTATAGTTGTAGGATTTTAAATGTTAACCTTGCAGGCTTTGAAGTCATAAGGTGGGAAACCAACGCTAGGAATGGGGGCTTTGGACTACTTAATTTAGTAGATGCGAAAAAGTTTGGAATAACTTCAGAAATTGTTGAAACAAACTTGTTATTCCATGTTAAAATTTCAACATACAAAAAATTGGAAGTAAAGCAAGTGCTGAACTTTTTCTTGTTGCGACACACGTACACACACATAGACATTGGTTAGATAAAAAAGATTCTAAAGAACCTTTCAATATTTTTGCACTTAGCTCCAAAAACCAAATGACTTCCCTATGCCCAATCTTTAGTTGAAAAAGAGAAGGTTCTAAGTTTTTATAATTTCAATGAGGGGCAAAGGGATGGATGGAGAAACATATTTTTGTCTTGGAAGGGATTTATCAGCAATGTTTTCCCCTCATTCTTTTTTTTGGTTCCAATGATGATGGGGGCTTTAAATAATGATGGCCTGGAGGGGCTGTTTTTTTGGGGCTCTCCCAGCCACATGCCCATGAATGCCCACCTTCCCAACTTGGATAAAATTAAGATTTTTATCAAAATGCTACTTACCTTGTTAGAGGCAATTCAGATTGTGCAAATTGCTTCACAATAACATTGGTTTAGGATGCGTATCTTAAACAAATATTCATGTCATATATTGTGATATGTGAAGCTAATTTTTTCTCTAGTCTTTGTACTTGAGATAAGATGGATCTTCTTGTTACTCATTGAGCACTTTTTAGAGGCTCATTGCCAAAGAGAAGAAGAAGATAAATTTATCCAAAAAAAAAAAAAGGAGAAGAAGAAGATAAGAATTGAGTGGATTTGATTTGTCACAAATTGCTCAACGAGTGGAATCACTTGAGACTACTAATTGTAGAATCATTCATGTGACCAAGACACTTCCTTGATTGGGCTAGACAAATCAATCACTCTAGGAAAGAACACTTGCAAGATAATTTTTTGGATATCAACAACCTAATCTTATTATTCATCTTCATATGAATTTATAAGATTACAAATGTCTCTTAAATGCTAGATTCTTGGTATTCCACGCATAACAAGCACTAAATTTATTTAAGCACTTGACAATAACCTAGAAGTCTTTAAGGAATTTTCTTGAATCTTGATAACAACTTTTATATCACTTCGATGATTCTTGAAAACCAGAAGAGCTGACTAATTAAAATGTCTTATCACTTTTATAGATTATCACTTGATGCTCCTTCATTACTAGGTTGGGTATAAAAAGTTTGAATGTAATATCATTGAGAATAAATGAATTAATGCGTCAACGTCCTGAGGAGGTTAGGGAGCAATCAGGTCGTCCCAATTGGTGGTCAGGGACATTGAATGACCTTGCTCACGAGCAGGGTTTGAACCTTGCTACGCATTCCCTTCCCCTTCGGCTCTATTTGTTTTCCTCCATAGCCTATGAGATTGGATTACCAATTATATAAGCCTTACAAGAAACATGTTTGGTTTGAGAAACGACCATGATGAGACTAGGAGTCCCATGGGATTAGGAATACCCTTCAATGAGGGGAGTAGCAATCCCATGGCGGAGGTGGTATTGCAAATTCAATCCTATGGGATTGGGGTTGAAATGACTATTTTGCCCCTTACTTTACAAAACACAATTGTCACTTTCTACATAATGAGGGCTTTTATGTAATTTCATAGATTTAATCTCAATCAATTAATATCACTATAATAGTGCACAAACAAACACAATTTACCTTACACCTCCAACCTAATG